ATCACCGTGTGCGCGTCTGTAGAGAAGAGAGACGTCCACGGCACATATGCATGCATATACGCTTTAATGCATATGTATGGGTGTGTTCACATGTGTAATAGATGTGTAATATCTGTTACCAGGCCTCATCACTGCTGTCAGCACGTCGGACCTCGAGCGCGTGTGATGGATTGTTTTACATGCAGCTGGAGCCTCCTGCTGTCTGAACCGCTCGCTGGCAAACAGGAACGCTGCCGAGATTCAAGAGGAATTATGAGTCATGATGGATCTGTCAGTCTGCTGGAGTGTGTGTGTGTGTGTGTGTGTGTGTGTGTGTGTGTGTGTGTGTGCGTGGCATTTTATCGGGGGTCCAGCGGAGTTCCCATGCTGTTGTTTTTATGGAAGGTGAGGCGTTTTGGTGAACAGACTTCACAAACAAAGCGATCAAATTTCAGAGGTTTAAACCAGCGAAGTAAGTAAAGGGTATAAAATACACGTTGATTACATGAATAAACCGGATTATTTACATTTAATTTGTCAGTGACAATTGTACAAAAAGCTGCGGTATATAACTTACATTTTTTAAAAAAATGTTTTTTGCATATTAGTTAAAACTGTCACCGTATCGTGACGATATGTTATGAGGCAGATAATCTGTGAAAAGATCGATCTGCTCCACCTCCTCCCTGTGCTGCTATTGGTGTGTGAACAAATGTGCCAAAAATAACCAATCAGAGCCAGGAGGCGGGTCAATCAACCTTGTGTACTTACTGCTAAATGTGCTAATCGTATTCATGTCTATGGTGCTAATAGTGGAGAACTGACTTAAAATTTCAGGAAATCCAGTTTATCAGCCATGCTAACTATCTTGAGCACAGCTATGCTAGCTGTGCTAAGGCCCGCCTCCTCCTGGCTCCTATTGGTTGTTTAGTTAACACTGGGAGAAGGCAGAGGAGCTAAAAAAAAATTTTTCACAGATTATTTGTAGGATATCATGACAGTTCCAACATATAGGTAAAAAAAAAGTCTTATAAAAGTCATGTAGTGCAGCTTTAAATGACGGCATTCAGCTAGGTGAACTTCACATTAAAACTCCTTTTTAATCTGAAAACTTCGACTTAAACTCATATTTTGCATAATCCCTGCCAAAAACAAAAATTTTTCTAAAAAATCTTTTTCTAGGCCAAAAAAAAAAAAAAAAAAAAAATCTTATGGAGGGGATATTTTTACCTTCAGATGCTTTTCAGCTGTAAGTTAAAATTTATTCCTGGAGCCGATTCTGTCATTTGTCACTTTTCAACTACAAACCCTAACTCAGAGCTGACTTCATGCTAATACTTTCTCTCCATGTTTAATACCAAATATTCTTAACCTATACTTACAGTAATGATAGTGAAGCTTCCGACTCAAGTTTGAGTTCAAAAAGTGAAGATTTATTTACGGCGGTTTATACAGTGAGGATGAGGAAGTGCAGAGACTTCTTGTCTGAATGGCTTTGGAGGTCTAACAAACCCGCACTGACTGGAAGGCTTTAAAAGCTCCTGCATGTGATTCACCACACTGGCAAATCATTTATTGCTATGAATACAAATATTCTGGCAGCATTCGGGTTGTAATTTCTGGCCCAATCCTGATCACCACATTGGTATTTACTTTTTTATTTTACTTTTTTTTTTTTTCTAACAAAACTTACCACAATATTTGAATTCCTGGAGTCAAACGGTGTAAGCCTCACTTCTCTCCACATAATCAGTCTACATTACAGTTGTGAGTGTAAAACTTCACTATGTCATCTGTCAAAACAGCATTAAAGATACCACTCAAAAGGACGTCTTTAATTTATGAGAGAAGGATTTCTGTGGCGATCAAAAACAGAAATACCTTTTTATTATTTTTAAGAGTTGAATGAGCCACATCAGTCTTAATTGCATTCTCATTTTGTTGAGTGGGACAATACAAGAATGAAGACTCATTTATAAGGAGATGTAGTTAATGTGTTTTCTTTTAACTTCATTCAGGGGCAGCATTATGTAAAACTTTTTAGCGCCTTACATCATGTTGTAATGTTATTTGCTCATCAGAAACATACGTATGTTTGAGAAATCCTTCATTCTCCATGGAAACCATTTAGCTGTGCAAAACGCCGGGGTGGACCTGCAGCCCCGCCGTTGAGGGGCTGCAGGTCCATGTTGTGACTTTCTGAAGGCGGAGTTTCAGAGAGAGCAGCAGCTTCTTAAAGAGACAGACGTCCAATCTCAAGGCGTTAAAATTACAAAGTAAATTTTTTTAAGTTTAAAATATATTTGATACATTTTTATAACAAGTGAAGGTAATATAGTTACTTGATTATGCTATAAAATGACATTATGTGCCTGCTAAACACATAATAAAAAAAACAAAACAACATATACATACATATTTTAATTTAAGAAACCTTTAAGACTCAGTCTCGTTTAAACGCACGCTTTCTTTAATTCAGTCAGCATTTCAGCCACTTTCACAGTAAGCCCCAGCATCAAACATGTCCGCAGGGATGCATAAAAACAGTCAGATGTGAAATGTAAATTACAGTAAATGAAGCATTAAAAGCAGAAGTGATGATCCCGAATGTAAATAGCGGGCCTGCATCCTGCTAACGCGTTCTTCTTCCGCTGCCTGCCTCCGGCCGCAGCGTTCTCCGTCTGAGTTTATTCAGCTGCCTCCAGCGTTGAGGGATTCACACCCGCAGCGATCCGGGGGCAGACTGACAAGCCTCTGCTTATTGTCTGAAATGGCAGCTCTCCCACCCACTCACATAAATCAGAAGTGTGTTTCCAGATCTAACACACACACACACACACACCAAAATGTTACAGTCACATCATCTATTTTCCTAAATCATACCACTGAGCTGTCATGAAAAGCAATGATTAATTCCTTCCAAGGAGTCGCAGTATTAGTTATATGCGGTAAGTGTTCAAAATTTCTTTTTAATTAAAAGAGGGGAGCAGGAAAAAAAATGGGCAACCACTTGTCTGTAATATTTAAATGTTTTTGTACTTTTTTGCAAGCCCCTGTTGCCTTGGATGACAAGAAGATGAGGAGTGAAAGACATATTGCAGTAAAATGCAAACACACACACACAGTCGGGAGTATAATTTATTTTTGCGTTTTTCCAAGCCGAAAGCTGGAGAGGAAGAAACACGAGTTGTCAGGATCTGGGTTTAAACGTCAGCCGGATTCTGGGTCCACCTGAGATGAACGTTTCCTCCTCGGCTGAGATGTCAGCTGCCGTACTGTGACTTCATTTATCAGAAAACGGCAAACACACGTTCCTCTGTGAACCTGTCAACAGCAAACACAGAGGGATGGCTCCGAGATTCTTATTATTGTTACTGTTAGCACGGCCAAAAGCTAAATCATCCTCAGATTTTATTTTAATTTCTACTTGGGGATCACTAATGATAACCTGAAAGTGTTTAGTAATAAATAAAAACTTTTAAGAATATCCAAATAAAACCTTTACAATAAAATCTTGTAAGTTATGAATGATGACATCGACTTTCTGCACTGTTTTAGCATCGTATTTCAGCTAGCTCGCTAGTTTTAGCAATGGCAGCGGACGAAGTGAACGGAGACGTTCAGTCTGTGCTGGTCACACTTATAAACATTATTAACATTAGCTAACATTAACAGCCATCTTGGTCTAGACTTTCTGGACGAAGTGAAGCGTACAGCAAAGAGCTGGTTTTTACCAGCTAACTGCTAGGTTACAACCAACCATGCATTTTGGGGTCAAAGCCAAAGCTTGAGGAGGTGGAAATACAAATAAATATTGGGAGAAATGTCGGTGTAGTTATCTAAGTCAGTTTGGAAGCCGACTGTGGCATCTATAATATTACTACAGCTTCACACCAGAGTTATTTCTAATAAACAAGCAGGAGATGCTTCTAGATGAGCTCTGCTTCTCATGACATCTTCCCAATCTGTTCATGTCTTTAGATTATTGCCCATCAGTTTTCCACCGCGGGTCAGGTCGTGCGTTTTTGATCTCTGTTACGAATGGCACTGTAGAGAAAAGATCGGGTGGGACGTTTCAAACATTTCCATCCATCTTTTAGCAGAAAAGCAGGCTAGCAAAAAAACAATCAAGGGTCAGGAACGAGGCAAGCCGTCTGTAAGCGCATGAAGCGAACTGCAGGGGTAATCGCTTCCAAAAGATCCCACAGGTGAATGAAAGGGAAAGAGCTGGGCTAATGAAAACGATGCCCCTGTGATCACCATCTCGGCTCCAGGGTTGTATATCATACGGGAAACCCAGATGAGGATGAGGGGACGTGGGAGGTTGGCCGTCTCCAGAGCGTGTTGGAGCGACGCCACATCTGGTCAACAGTAGCGTTCGCTTCCTCCACAGAAAAAGAAAAGTCACACAAAGCAGAGCGATGCCGCGCTAACCGAGGCTCATAAACACCACAAAGATGGTGGATTCGGGTGATTGAATCAGATTTTTATTTTTAATTTCAAGTCGCCGTAGAAACTGAATACAGCCCATGTGGAGAACATTTGGTAAAAAAAAAAAAGTGCCTTTTAATCTTTCTAATTCACAGTGCTAACCAGGTGAATTTCTGTTTATTTTTTCACCTTATGGTGAGATCAACACAATGTTTGCAACTTTCACAGATATTAAAAAAAAACTTTAAGTTCAAACTAACAGACTGGTTCCTGCCGGTTTTTGTTTGGCAATCACACACACAACTTCACTTTCTGATTGGAAACCAATTACAGGACGCACTGCAAAAACGCACTTAAAACAACTGAATTACTGCGTTGAGAATTTATTTCTGAGTTTAATTCATTGATAGAAATGATTGACTACAACACTTTTCAAATTTTTACAAATTTTAAGTCAAGTTTATTTGTACAGAGCATTTCAGTTCCAGTTCAAAGTTTTACATCATAAAAACGTCCTGTGCCAGTTATCAAACCAGCAACAAATATTACATTTAGTCAAATTTTATTTAATTTAATAAACATTTACTACTTTCCTTTACCTTGTGTTGATGTGTTACTCAGAATCCCAGTAAAACACATTAAAGTTTATGCCTGTAATGGGATAATTGTGGGAAAAGTTTAAAAGGTGTGAGTATGTTTCCAAGGCATTTTGTATAATAGTAGTAAATTAGTTCATTAATCAGTATTGTTCTTTAGATATCACTTTCCGAATGTAAAAGATTATCTACTAATTATTAAGTAATCTTTATATAGTAATTATTAACTTAATCTTATAAAAAATAATCTCAACCAAAAAAGATAGTACTTAATCTCAAATCTAGAATCTTTTCAGCGGTTTGTTGTCAAATTAGGACAAGCTTTTCTATGTGAAGACTTTTTTTATGTATGAAAGCCAATTATTTAATGTATTGTTGCAACTTTATGCTTCCCTTTTTCTGTCATACAAGAATGCAGTATCCAACTCTTATCTGCTGCGTGTGGAGAATCATCCACACGTCACATGAAAGCAGAAGTCTGTCTTGGTTTTTCATTATTCAACCTTGAGGAAAACAGATAGGAAGGAAAGATAAGGAGATGAAAGAAAGGTTTTTAAAAAAAAAGTCTTTCATTTTCTTTCCTAATTGGTCTCCTGCTGCCGGGCCGAGAGGAAGTGGAGCTTCCACACCTCCACCCGCAGAGGACACCTGGAGTCTGGCCCCGTCCCCGGAGCTTTGGAGGACTGTGAAGTGCCAGCTTCAATCCCAGTAATCTCAATCCCGCGCTCCACGGTCGTTTCTCCTCCGCGGCGGTGTGAATGAGCCTGGGATGACCTCCCTCCTGGTTCGCATTATCTGCCCACCTGTTAATATGAGACCTTTGACCTGACGGAGAGGAGATGCAGTCAGAGGACAGCGAGTCTGTCCTAATGAGACTACGTCCAGCCGTTGTGTCATTTGGTTTCATTCACAAGACGAACAGCAGCTTGAACAAACCAGCATGCACGTACCAACAAATTACTTTTTGTTTGTATTTTCGCAAACGGAATGAAATTGTTTTTTAGCTCAGCGACCACTGGTTTATTCTCACAAAATGTGTTTTAATACTTTAATTCCTCACAATAAATCGCTTCAATTCAAATTTAAATGTACCTTATTGATCCCAGAGGAAAATTAAATGTTGTTGTAACTCAGATGAATTCAAATTCTTCAGAGTCCTTGTACACAGTGACGGATGTTGGCAGGAATGATCTCCTGTAGCGGCCTGTGCTACAGCGAATTTGAAGAAGCCTCTGACCGAAGACACTCTTGTTTTTCAAACACATCTAACTCGTCTCATCTCAGTACCATTCAAAGTAAAAATATCACGGTTGACGTTATTTTATTTTTAACAAAATAAAAAATGTCTTCACAAGATTATGTAAAATTTTATTGTTACTTATTGTTTGTAAAGTGCATTGAATCTTTTTCTCCCTGTCATTTATTTTTTCTGCAAAAAAAAGATATATCACATGGGTTCTACATTAGAGTAAAGAAACAGAAATGTACGTTTTGTGATTTTTTTAAAGAACTTAAGAAAATAAACATAGTGCTGATTATGTTTTCATCTGACGCAGTTTGTAGCTAGCTTAGGCTAATGCTAACATGTTGATTCTGTTCTCCAAACGCATTTAATCATGATTTAGGCCTGATTTCAAATTGAAACTTTATGAGACCAAAGCACCCTAAAGTAACTCGATTGATTGATTGATTTTTAAATGTTTCCCATCACTTAGCTATTGTCGTTTCCTCCTGCTCTGTCTCTCCCTCCCCCGCCAACACAGAGCAAACTTTCATGCCCACACATATATCCTCATATCAACCCGATACATCCCTGACACATGCGGAGCAGACTTCTAAAGCAAATTGATTATTTGCATGTAGCCTAGCGCTCTCCCTCTGTGGCCTGCTGCACAGATGTATGGATGGATGTGTTTCTTCCATAGAGAGAGAGAGAAACAAAGAGCTGGAGCAGCAGGAGCCATCTTTCAGAATGACAGACAAGTCAAAAGCAGGGATTTCAAAAATGACTATTTTCTTAGTTCCTACCCAGTTCCAAGTGTGTTGCTTTGTGAATATTTTAAAACTAATTTCTAATCGCTGCATGGGAATTTGTTCAACTTCAAAACAGAATATTCTGTGACATCATCTGTGTTGCTCTGTGTTGTTTCATTTTGAAAGCCATAAAAGTAATGAATTGGCCCCTGATCATCCAATACACGACTTCTCCTCTCCCAGCCTTGTTAATCACTGTAATGGTCATAAGGACAGATCAGCTTCCAAACAAACATCCTTTCGACGGCGGCTCTCAGATGATGTCTTGTTCCTGGTTGCTAGGAGACAGGCTCGTTTGCTACAACTTGAACGGTCCAAGCGTGGACCAGATTACAAAGAACCAGCTTTAACATACAGAGTTAAAGCTGTAAGGACTTAACACCTGATGCCTAACGATTATCATAACTGAGGTAAAGTAAGCTAGGCTAATCTAAGCTAATGTCAGGTAATGTAAGATTAGCTAAGTTAAGCTAAGACTTTCAATTCAATTAAAAAAAGACTTTATTACAAAAGAAAATGTTCTGTTGATTTAACTCACATTAACCAATTTTCCATCAGTTGTCGGTGCTGATGGCTGTGGACATGATGGATCACCTGTAGCAGTCTTTGTTACAGTGGGTTTGAAGAAGCATCTGACTGAAGACCCTCTGTTCTTGTATGGCAGATGCTCAGTGTTGACCATAATGTTACTGATTTTATGGCAAATCCTTCTTTGCACAACAATCTCCAGAGGAATACAAAGAAGTCTAAGAGATAAGTTGCTGAAAAGTTTCTTTCCAAGTTATTTCTGTCTTATTTCAAGTGTACTGAGATATTTGCTCTAGAAACTATGCTGGAATGACTTGGTGAGATTTTGTGTTTCTGCAGCGTTGGTCTGTCACACATATATCATAAAACGCTGTGAAGTGCAAAGTGGGAAAAAAATGTGAAAAAAGCTCACAGGGTGTCAATGCGTCTGTAAAAGCTCCGTAAGTGTCAGAAAAGCAATGAGATTTCTTGGCGAAATACTTTCAGGAATGCCAGCTGACAACGAGATTCGCTTTGAACGAATATCGGCTTTCCACTCCCTGGATGTCTGATGACGGGATCGGGCCTTGGATGACCTGTAAAGACTTTTATAAATGAGTTCAATGGGATTTTTGTGGCTCTTGACAGTTTAACGGAGCATCAGATCTCTGCGCACAGACTCTCGGCAGGTCCACATATTGTTCGCCGGAGAATAAAAAGAGATGAAAAGGGGATGTGGCAAGAGGCTGAGGACACGAGTACATCCCGTCTTGGAGGACGTTCAAGAGACGTCCTATCAAAGCCGCTTTCCTTCCGTCTATAAATACCAGCTGAATAACATCTCCCCAACCTCCTGCTGCGGGTATCAAGATCTGTTTAACACATGAGAGGCTCTGGAGATAACTCGGTGGGCTATACGTTATGCATCGCGCAACTGCAGATGAAGAGAGCGGCGTATTACTCCAGCAACTGGCCTGACATTTAAAGGCATGTCCATCAAAAAGATGACTCCTAAATCTGCCCTAAATTTATTGCACTAAATACGTCTTAGCGTGTTGTATCACTGGCAATCGGTGTTGAAAACATCTCATAATAAATTATCAAATTTAAGTGGCTGCAGTATGGGGTGGTAAAAGGGACAAGATTGTAAAGTAGTCATATTAGGCTGCACCTGTGACAGAGTCCAGCTAATTAAAACGGTTTGTTTGACTGCCATTCAACCCAAACAGCAGGTTTTACAGCAAGCTAAAGCAAAGCAAACTTTGCAAACAGCACTCAGAGAGTTTGAGAAACATTAGGATTATGGTTCATTTCAGTGGCAAAAGTTGGAAAATCTGGAAAAAGTAGGGATCCTCAATAGATCGTCAGTATCAGCCTATGTTAATTGTTTTTTTAAAGGGGGACTATTATGTATTTTCCAGCCACAAGGTCATTTTATAACACAATCAAATAACTTTCATTCAGTTGCAAAAAATGCTGCATATATTAAATGTGGCTAACAAGAAATTGAAACTGGGCCTCTGTCTCCAAGAAATTTCTGTTCTCTCTGAAACTCCGCCTTCAGGAAGTCATCACAACATGGCTCCTCTATTAACCTCTTAACCTCCTTTACCGGAGTTGCATTGAGCAATAGCTCCTATAATGAGTTCAGCAGATGCTCAGCTCCACCAGGTGTTTGCCAATTGCTGCTGGCTAGTCTGAAGGAGCTGAGAGGGGGAGTCGAGAGCACAGGGATGCTCTGTGAGGCGGAAGCTCAAAAGGTTGGAAACTGTAGCTCTGAGGAGGGGGGTTTGTCTTTGAAGGCGGGGCTAGGTCCAACCAGGAGTTTTGTACAGTTGAATGGTTGCCATGTCAACGAAAGAATTTCTTAAACATGCATGAAATAATCAAGGCAACACCCCAGGTATATTTTTGAAGAGGGAATAATATAACATGAAGTAAATATAAAAAATAAAAGTCAATTTTACGTTAATACTGTCCCTTTAACATATCTGTTTTGGCCTGCTATGTAAGGATTGATTCAAAAATATTAATATTGATAATTCAGTATCAGAATCTGATTGATAACAGAGTGGAAATATTGATATTTAGTTTCCAATACACCCTTTCAATTTTGTTACATTTTTGTACTTGTCAACTCTACCTCAAAAAAGATTTTGTTTCTGATTTGATCTCAATAATAATAATTTTCACTTTGTTTATTTCTGAAATACACACAAATTATGTTCATATGCTATTAAAGTATTTCATTAGCATTTATAAACTTTATTCAAATTCTGTCCTAGGCTTGAACAGAATACTTCAAAGGAAAACCAACAAAAACACCTTAAGGTCAGAAGCTTGATGATATATTACACTTAGATAGAAAGTATCAGTATCGGCAACACAAGCCCTTTATCGGATCAGTACGAAAATATGAAGCATGCCACACCTCTAGTAGTAACCAGTGTTTATTTTCATCTTGCTGCCATTTGTGTGTTGCGAGAAGAGGTTGGTAAAATTGATACACGATCCCGTAAAAAATAATTTACAACAGCAATATCAATATCGGATATTGATATTGGCTCAAATTTTCATCTCGGTGCATCCTTTATGAAAAGCCTGTGAATCCTACAGAACTCTGTAGCAGGAAGCCATCAGGCTTAAACAGCTTGTTGAGGGATTATTGTAGGAGACAAAACTTCAACAGATCTTATCCCAGCTGTGTCAAAGTCCTTACTTCTTTTTCTCCTCTCCGTTTTTTTTTCCCAGAAGAGGAGAGGCAAAGCGAGGAGAAGGGAAGAGAGGGGGGAGCGCAGCACTCCCTCCTTCGCTCAGAGATGCAGAGAGCAGAACTTGTGCCAGTGAGCCGGGCTTTGAAAGTGTAACGTAAGAATGGCAGATCACAGAGGCCAGAGGAAAATGATATTCTCCTCATTGCGACTCCCCCTGCTCGGGACTTTGTTGTGGGGGCTTCTGCTTTTAACTGGAACCAGGTTCTGTGTTGCTGCGGCATCCCGCACGGTGCGTACGAGCAAGCGCCGTCGTTTCTCTGCTCCCTGACGCGCGAGAACGGCGTGTTGAATTTGATGGCCATCAGTGAAGACCTGGGGTCTCCAGGTAGGGGCTTCTCACCTGAGCAGGTGGAAACCAAGGAAGCTCGGAAAGCAGAAGAGTTTCCCGTTTGTATTTAGCAACAGAAGCAGATAACTGCATGTTCTCTCCAAAACAAAAAAACATGTGTTCAAAAAGTTATTTTAAGTTTAAAGCACTATGGAATACAAGTTTATTAAAGAGTCTTTATT